CTCCCCGCCCGTTGGCAAGGGTGCGGTGGGGGAGGGCAGGTTAGAGAGGCCGGTGTCTGGGGGGGGGGGGGGGCAGGGGCGTTTCTCCGGGCGTTTACATGCTTTAGGGCCCCCCCTGGGTTCCGACGTGTCCTGGCATTTTTTCCAACCGAGCGTCCACGAAACGCGTTCTCAACCTATGCTGCGCAGTCTTTATTGCGCAGTCTACATGGGGCAAGGTATGTTGTGCACTGAATGTAGTGCTACCTATGTGGTGCAATCTGTGTGGTGCAACCTACGTGGTGCAATATGTGTGGTGCAATCTATGTGGAGCAATCGATGGTGTGCAACCTATTTGGTGCAATAGATGTGGTGTCTGTATGTGCTATCGACGTTGTACAACTTATGTGGAATAGTGCGATCTGTGTGGTGCTTTACATGTGGCGCAGTACATGTTGTAGTAACTGTGTTGTACAATCTATGTTGTACAATCGATGTGGTGGAATATCTATATAGATTGCTCCAAATATGTGGTTCAATCTATGTTATGCAATCCATGTGAGGCAACCTATGTGCAGCAACCTACGTGGCGGCGACGGGGCGGCGACAGCGGCAACGTGGCCGCCAGACCGCCAGACGGGCGCAGTCAACGGGCGGCTGCGAGGCGACGACTGGGCGGCGACGCTGGCAACATAGCCGCCAGACGGGCAGACAGGCCCAGACGGTGGGCGGCGACGATGACGAGGCGGCGACGGGGCGGCGACGGCGGCAACATAGTCGCCAGACCGACAAACCAAACCAGACGACGGGCGGCGACAGGGCGGCGACGGCGGCAATACCGCCGCCAGAACCGACAGACAGGCCCAGCGTCTCAGTAACAAGCAAGAGCCCCTGAGCGCAAGCTCTGTTCTGGGGAAGTATGGGGATGTGTGGGAATCGGAGAGGAAGATGACACGCCCGAAAACATTTAGGAATATTGGGGACCATGGAGTTTGCGTTCATTCTCTTGTGCTCCCCTGGGCCCCTTGACTGACGGGGTTCGGCCAGTACCTCCGGATCCGCTCTGGCTGACCTGGCACCGGGAGCCACGTGGGGCGCTCCAGAAAAGGGCCTCGCCTTCGAGGGGGTCGAAGGGATTACCTGGCTTCCTCGGCGGACGCAGGCGGACACAAGACGGGGGCCGCTCCGCCACTGGAAGCCCGCGGAGGCAGAACATCCGCCCCCGAGAAGTGCAGTGGTGCGGAAGGCTCAGGGCTTCCAGAGCCCGCCATCCAGGGTTTCCAGACCCTGGCTGACCTGGGTTTGATGGGCTTGTTTTCCACCACCACCACCATAAGTTGGAGGCGGACGGGGTCCTCCTCCTCCCTTTCCTCCTCCTCCTCCTCCTCCTCCTCCTCTTCGTCCTCTTCCTCCTCGTCCTCCTCCTCCTCCTCCTTCCCCCTCCAACTTATGGTGGTGGTGGTGGAAAACAGGCCCATCCTGGGTTAGTGCTGATTTGGGTGCGCCCGTCTCCCAGGGTGGGATCAAGGGTCGACGACGTGGACGTCGACGACGTTGCTTCGGAGATCTGGGGGTGATTCTTGCGCATTTCTCGCGGGGACGGCTGGGGGCAGCCCGAGAAGCTGGCAGGGAGCTCTGGAGGTGGAGGCTACTCCCCAAACAGTGCTTGCACCTACAGTGCCGTTTTCAATCCATGTTCCGCGTGCGGATCATGTGCTAAAAATGCAGGGATCCAGAAAAAAACAACGATGAGTCCATGCATACATGTATTCATACATGGATCATGCATCAAGAATCTCATATTTTTAACATCCCATGCACTAAAAGCTGCCCTGCAGGGTTTCCTGCTTGCCTTCTGAGGTAGCTGGGCCCCAAGTGACGCTCCAGCCGGCTCGTCGCCGCCCGCCGCCGCCCGCCGCCGCCCGTTGCCGCCGCTGGGCCGGGCTGCGGCCTGGCCAGCTCGGCGCCGTGCGTCGCCGCCCGCCGCCGCCGTTTTGCCGCTGGGCCCCACAGGGGGCCACATGGGAACCCTGCCCCTACCCCCCACGATTTCTGTGGGGAGAGGGGGGGGTCACTGCGTTCGGGAGCTCCCGAGCCAAGTGACCCCCCCCCTCCCCCTCAGAAATCGTGGGGGGCGGGGGTAGGGTTCGCATGTGGCCCCCTACTCAGCGGCGGTGCGGCCGGCTCGTCGCTTCCGTCACCGCCGTTGCCGCTCGGCCCCAGTGGCATTGCATTGTTCTACACTGTTCTGCACTCTTTTGCACCATTTTGCCTCGCGTTGCGTTGCCTTTTGCACTGCTTTGCATTGCCTTGTGCACCGTGCTGCGTTACTTTGCATTTCCTTGCGTTGCATTGCTTTGCGTTGCTTTACAGTGTTTTGCGCTGCTCTGCATCGCAGTGAGTTGCTTTGCATGGCTCTGCATTGTTTTGCATGGATCTGTATCGCGTTGCATTGGTTTGCATTGTTTCGCCTTGCTTTGCCCTGCTTTGCATTGCTTCCCCTTGACTTTCCTTGCTTTGCACCGCATGGCTTGCACTTCATCGATTGCACCATCCCGATTGCACTGCAGATGTCGAAGAAATCCTTGCTTGTGGCCCACACTGGCCAACGTGATTGTTTTGGTTGTGGACTGCAGCGGGCTTCTGGCAAATCGCATGCCGTCGTCTTCGTCGTCCTCCGCGCCGTCGTCGGCGCCCCCCGCGGAAGGCGCCCGTCTGGAAGGCGTGGTGGCTGCTGGAGGACCGGCCCGCCGCTCGCCGCCTCCGCGCCGCCCCCTCGCTCGATCGCAGGCCGGTTCCTGCGGTGCGACCGTCGCCCTCGTCGAGGGCGACGAGGGCGACGGTCGATCGAGGAGGCTCGATCGATCGATCGAGGAGGGCTCGCCCTCGACGAGGGCTCCTCCTCGAGCGATCGATCGAGGCTCGATCGATCGCTCGAGGAGGAGCCGATCCATCGACCGATCAACGGGCCCGCGGGGCTCGCGGGCGCACGCAGCCGTCACGCCGCTCCCGTGCCATCGCCGACTGGCCCGTTCGGTGCGACAGACCCCTTCGGGTACTGAAAGAAACAGCACGACGGGATGTTTTATGATTATCGGCCTCCCAGGGCCCTTACCGGCCCTCGGGACCGTCAAACAACGATTCAGGATGAATGGTCCAGGGGAATGGGTCGAGACCTCCAGGGGTCGACGTAATGAAAAAATCATGACGTCGGGGGTCTGGGTTCGCCCCAGATCCGCCATCGAGTCAGATGGGGTCCTGCGGGTTGCTTCGGGCTCTCCGTCAGCACTTGCTGGTGCGCTTCTGGCCCCTCGCGCTCTGAACCATCCAGGGATAAACCGCAAATCGCTTCGGAGTGTTCCGTGACGCTCACGGAGCGTTCCGGAACAGCTTGGGCGCCCCGATGCACGTGCCAGTCCCGTCGGCTCTCAGCGATTCCCGACTCCGCGATCCCGATCCAGATGTATCCTCATCCTGCACTCGTCTCACTGAACCGCTCCGGAGGCTTCCGCAAGCATGAGGAGAAGGTGCGCCCGAGGGGAAGGTCGGGTGTGGCTAGAAGTGCCCCTGGCCCAAGGTGCCCCCAGGATTTCCAGGGAGGCCTCCATGGCCTTCAGAGCATCCCTCGCTAGACTCAGAGGGCCCCAGGGGGCTTCAGAATGGAACGAAAACCTGGGGGCACCTTGGGCCAGGGGCACCTCTAGCAGCCCCCGAGAAGGGTCCCTGGGCTCTCTCTTCTCCCGTGCTCGGCCTCCCAGGGGCCCCTGGGAGGCCGCGCCAGGCGTCGGCCCAGGAGGGGGGAGGGCAGCCCCAGAGCTCCGACGGCGTGAGATCCGTGCAGTCCTTCTGCGTTTTCTCGGCTTTGGCGTCCTCCCCCTCTTCCCCCTCCTCCTCCTCCTCCTCCTCCTCCTCCTCCTCCTCCTCCTCCTCCTCCTTCTCCTCCTCCTCCTCCTCCTCCTCCTCCTCCTCTTCCTCTCGGGCTGTTTTAGTCCAATCCGCGCTGGCGCCGATTGTCTGTCGCAGCGAATCACGGCAGGAACCATGAGTGTCCTTGCCAGCCCACGCGTCCTTCAGGATGCATGGCCTTCTTGCTTGGGTCCGTGATCGGGCCCCAGGGCGAGGACAAAGTTCTAGGCCTGTCAGATGGGGTCCGAGTAGACGGGGTCGGAGGATCGCGCCGCATCGCCGACACATCGGCGACGCGGCTCGATGTGGGGCCCGATTTTCTCAACGCCGAAGTCGCCAATGCACCGCCGACGTCGCCGGTGCTTCGCCGATGCTTCGCCGATGCATCGCCGATACATTGGCGATGCATCGGTGATGCGGCGCGATCTTCCGACCTCAATTACTCCGACCCCATCTAGGAGGCCTCTACAAGTACCCCCCAGGAAGCGGTCGGGACCTCAGCACAGCTCGTGCCTCGAATCGAGCATCGAGCTGGCTGCACGGGGCAAAGGGGTGAGGTGTGGCGCCAAGCTGGGGTTCCCAGCCCAGGACCGGGAACCTGAACGCATCGTTCCATCGTGGGGCGCCGCGGCCCCCAGCCGGTCGCCGATCCACCGTCCGAGTGCGACCGCCGCCCACCGTGCCGATCAACCGACTGGTCGAGCGATCGATCGAGCGGCCCGCGTGGCCACCGCCGACCTGTGGTTCCGCGCCGCCCCCGATCTATCGCCGACCGTCCACTTGATTGCTATCGTCGCCCCCCCGTCGATCGATCAATCGATCTGTCGATGAGGATTTCAGAATCACGCAGTTCTCTGAGGCCGACTTTTTGTACAGCGCCGAGGGAGGATAGCAGCGAGCATCACAGAATCTGGCAGAAGCAAGGCCAGTCTGTTATACAATTCTGCTTCGCACGACTGGACTCGCAGCTTCTTCTCCCTGCAGCCTTTTGGATGCGGTCCAGGCCCGACAGGGTCGGGGGCGACGGCCAGGGTGGGCGCGTCGGCAGCGCGGCGAGCGAGATCGCCGCCGCGCCGCCCAAGCCTAGCCACATGAAGAGCGAGACCTAGAACGCGATGGGCACGTCCAGCCGCGCGGAGGTCGTGGGCGACAGCCAGCGGGAGCTCGACGGCGACGAGGAGCGCGCGCACCACGGCACGCAGACCTTCAACGACAAGTGGGACCTCGCGACGAGCACGGGCGGCATTGCGGGCAGGATCTGCAACGTGGCACGGGCGTTCGACAGTCTACTGGGCGTGGCCGACGCAGCAAGCGCCGCGGCAAGGTGCGGAGGCTCGCAGTGCACATGCGACAGTACCAGACGGCCGTGATCAAGTTCCAGGCCCCGTTGCACCACTGGGCCCTCATGGGCGGCATGGGCCGCCTGATCATGGGCCTCGCGACGCGGGTGTTGCAGGCGCCCCTCACCGTCGACGCCGCCGGGGCCCCGGACACCGTCGAGGCCGCGGCCAGCGCCCGCGCGGATGAGTGGGAGCAGGCCCTCATGAGCGAGCGGGGCCGCAAGTTCAAGCCCAAGCTGGAAGAGAAGCGCCCAGGCTCGGCGGGCCTACTGCACGAGGCGTGCGCCTGAAGGTCCGCGAGGAGCTCTCCGCAGGGCTCGGCCAGCAAGCGCCCGTTGGCCACCCGCCCGCGGCAGGCGTTGGAGCCGGAGGCCGCCGAATGGGCGGGCACGCGGAAAGCCGAGCGGGGCCCGCGCAGCATGCATTGGACGGCAGCAGGGCCGAGCACGGGCAAGGTCGAGACCGACGGGCCTGGGGCAATCTGCAAGGCTTGCCGAGAGCGCGCTGGAATCATAGACTGGCGTTCTCGACGTCGGAGTTGGCTAAGTGAGCAACGACCTTCTGGACGATTTGGGTGCGTTCTTTGAGCGGCGCGAGAGCTTGCGAACGTGGCCAGACGACGCCCGCCACCTGGCCATCTTCACCCTGGGCAGGCTCGACGGAGGTGGCGGGCCGATCTGTCTGCCCCCCGCGCCCGGGCGCGTCTTGGAGGGCGCTCGGACCGTCCGCGCGGGGCGATGGGGGGCCCCGCGCTGCAGGGGCTACGACAGGGCAGCCCCAGGCCGAAGCGGCGAGCAGGCAGTCTGGCGGGCACTGCTGGGCGATGAGGCCTGGGAGGGCAGCGGCTTCAGCTCCGTCGGCGCCCTGCTGGACATCGCCAAGGCGCGCGAGAAGGTCTCTCTCAACCTCTTTATACGGGTCTTCGCGGAGGTCGCGGAGTGCCCCGTGGACGCGGTCGGGCTGGCCCTGGAGGCCCCCGCGGCTCACCGCTTCATCGGGCGGGAAGGGGCGGTCGCCGAGCCCGTCGTCGCGCTCGCGGGGCTGCCGGCGGGAGGCAAGTGATCGAACGAGTTGCTGAAAGTTTTTTTCTATTGGGGCCGGGGCCTGGTGCACGGGGGTTCCCTGCCCTCGCGCGTCGCGAAAGCGCGCGGGCGACGTCGCCCTGGGGGTGCTCCATTCAGCCGCGCACCTCGAGGCGGAGTTTTCGGGGGCGCCCTAGTTCCTGGCCGCCGTGCCGGGGGAGGTGACGGGGTTTCTCTCGGCGAGAGGGCCAGGCGGCAAGCGCGCGTTCGGGGCGAGAAAGCGGGGGGCAAGGAGGCGCATCGCGAGCCCGCGAAGCAGCTCGGCATTCGAGGGCAGCGCTGAGGCGTGGCTGGGCATCCGCCACGACCCACAGCCAGCTCGCCGTCGGCGCGCCCGCCGCCAGCGGCGCCTCACGACCGCCCGTTCGACGTCGCACATGGCAGCCTGGCTCAGAAAAGCGCGGGGTGAAGGTGAGGCGCTGCGCGGGCCAGGGCGCGGTCCGTCCCTCGCCCGCGGCGCTGCATGCGAGGGCGCGCCACTCCGCGCCGAGAAATTCCTGGGCGACCAGCCCAGGGCAGCTCTGGCCAGGGCGGGGCCGCTCCGCTCGGCGACGCTCAACGCGGCGATTGGATGGGGGCCAGGTGACGGAGCGCGCGGAGCTGGCGCCGCGGCTGGCGCGGGCGCGCCCGCACTGGGGCCGCCCTGGCATGGGCGAGAGCGCGTCGAGAGCGCGGGCCAAGCAGCGTCGCATCGTCGGCCCCCTCATGCGCAGCAACATCTCGTCCATGGAGCGGCGGGCGGAGGTGGGGGGCCCGGTGGGGGCCACCCTGGCCGCGTGCTGCGACGGAGGTTGGCGCATGAGCGACTGACATCAGCTCGCGGTCGGCAACGCGCGGTTCCACCTGAGCGAGGTCGCCCCCCCCGCGGCGTGGCCAGCGAGGCCAAGGAAGGGCGCGGTCGGTGGGGCCAAGCTGGAGATCTGGGCCAACGCCCCCGTTGGGGAGGCGCTGCGGCCGCGCCCTCGGGACGCGCCGCCGCGGCAGGTCAGGCGCGAGAAGCTGTCGCAGAGCTGAGCCGCCCACCGCCGCAGCGCCGCGAAGGTGGCCGCGCTCGGCGGCCCCCCTGAGCAGCGCGCCCTGTCCACCGAGGGCAGGGCCGACAGCGCCGTGCGCCCGTTGTGCGGCGCCGAGGAGCGCGCCTGGCGCTGCCGCTCCCCCGAGCGCGACTGCGCTGGCTCGCCGACCGGGGGTCCGATGCGACCCTCCGCGACGTCATCGCGCAGGGCGAGGTGGCGCAGGACTCGCGGTCGCGGTCGCGCGCCTGGTGGCTGACCCCGCGGCGGAGGGGCGCTGGCAGCTGCCCGAGGCTGAGCTCCGCTGGGTCAAGCCCGGCGGCCCCGCGCATTTCAGCGGGGGCATCGACGCCGACGGCTCGATGGTAAACCCCAGCTGGCCGAGGCTGCGCGCGGGGGGCTGGGCGGTCGTGGTGCGCGACAACAACGCGCTGGAGCAGGGCCTGCGGGGCCCGCTACCTGTCCCCGCGACGTGCAGCCTGGCCCCCGAGATCTGGGCGACCACTATGGCAGTCCAGCACGCGGGTTTTTCTCGCGGAGGTCATCATTGATAACGAGGCGGTGGTCGACGGCTTGCTGGCTGGGCGAGCTCGCTGCTGCGGCGGCGGCTCAGTAGCCGCCCACCTGTGGCGCCGCCTTTGGGGCGTGCTGGAGGACGGGCAGCTCGCGCCAGCAGGCGAGAACCTCGCGGTCGCGAAGATCAAGGCCCGCGTCCCGGGGGCGGAGCGGCATGCGCCGTCCGTCGGGCAGCGGGCGTCGCACGTGCTCGACGACGAGGCCGACAAGTTCGCGAAGATGGGCGCCGCCGCTTGCCCCGTGCCCACTCGGGCCGCGGTGCGCGCGGGGGCGCGCAGCAAGTGGGCCAAGTGCGTGCCGGAGTACGTCGCCAGCTTCCGCGTCCGCCTGGCGGGCTCGTGGGCGGCCGCAGCCGTGGCCGCGGCGGGGGGGCCGCGGGGCGGGGTCCAGCCGAGGCGCGGGCAGCCGCCGTCCTGGGGCCACTCGCTGGTGAGCGCGGTTTCTTCGTGGCGCTGCCAGTGCTGCAAAGCTGACTGCGAGCCCGCAGCGGGGTTGAAGCGGCTGCGGGGCGAAGAGTGTCGCCTGGGCGCGGAGGTGGCGAAGGCGAGGGTGCAGCAGCAGCAGCAGCAGCCTGCAGCGCCGCAGGCGAGCGGGCGCCCTTCGCAGCCACAAGGAGGGCCCAGGCGAGGAGCCACCAGAAGGAGAGCGCCCGCCCGGCTCAGAGGGGCCATCGCAGCCACCTGCAGCGCCGCGGGAGCATACTTGGGCGCGCTGCGCTGACTACGCCGCGCGCAGGGTGCGCGAGGCATTCTTCTGGCGCGAGCTCCGCAGCGCCATGGGTGACTGCGTGAGGCTGGGCAGCGCCGGCAAGGGCAACGAGAGGCGCCGTCGGCGCGATCGGATCCTGAGCGGGCTCGACCCGCATGCGAACGCAAACCTGGGGGATCTAGCGGTGGGAAAGAGCGCGTTCAGTGGTCGCTTGGAGGGTGGGGGGGGGGGGAGTTGGATACGCGCCCCCCACCCCCATTGGATTGAATGGGGGGGATTTGAACCCCCACCCCCCCCCCTCCTCTCTTCTGTGACGGCGGGGGGGTGGTTCAAACACCCCCCCCCTTCGCTTCTCCCCTGCTCCTCATCTTACGCTATCCTCGGGCTGGCGCCGTCGTCTCCACTGCAGCGTGCCGCGGTGGCGGCCCGCAGAAATTGCCGCATGAGGTTGCTGTGCCATCTCGCGTGCGACCCGTTTTTGATCGTCGTCCGTGTGGGCTCCGAGCCGTTCCGCCGGCCTTCTGAGGGCATGTGTGAAGCCTCCTGGGTGCCTCTAGGGGGTCTCTCGGGGCCTGTATGAGGTGGTGGTGGTGGTGGTGGTGGTGGTGGGTTGCGATGGTTGTGGTGGTGGCGGTGGTGGTGGTGGAGGTGGTGGTGGTGGTGGTGAGGTGGTTGTTGTTGTTGGCGGTGGTGGCGATGGTGGTGGTGATGGTGGTGGTGTGGTGGTTTGTGGTCGTGACGGTGGTGGTGGTGGTGTGTTCGTTTGTGGTGGTGGTGGTGGTAGTTGTGGTGGTGGGTTGTGGTGGTGGTGTTGGTGGCAGTGGTGGTGTGGTGGTTTGTCGTGGTGGTTGTGGTGGTGCTGGTGTTGGTGGTGCCGCGAAGTGGTCTGTGGTGGTGGTGGTGGTTGTGGTGGTGGTTGTGGTGGTTGTGGTGGTGGTGGTTTGTGGTGGTGGTGGTGGTGGCGGTAGTGGTTATGGTGGTGGTGGTGGCGGTGGTGGTGGTGGTGATGGTGGTGTTGTGGTTTGTGGTCGTGGCGGTGGTGGCGGTGGTTGTGGTGGTGTGGTGGTTTGTGGTGGTTTGTGGTGGTGTGTGTGGTGGTTTGGTGGTTTGTGGTGGTGGTGGGCTGTGGTGGTGATGGTGGTGGTGGTGGTTGTGGCGGTGGTGGTGGTGGTGTTGGTGTGGTTGGTTGCTGTGGTGGTTTGTGGTGGTGGTGGGTTGTTGTGGTGGTTGTGGTGGTGGGTTGTTGTGGTGGTGGTGGTGGGTGGTGGTGGTGGTGGTTGTGGTGGTGGTGGTGGTGGTGGTGGTGCTGTGGTGTTGTGGTGGTTGTGGTGGCGGTGGTGGTTGTGGTGGTGGTGGTTGTGGTGGTGGTGGCGGTGGTGATGTGGTGGTTTGTGGT